AGGGGTTGGGGGGGTGGCTGGCACTGGCAGGCCAGCGGCAGGCTCCGTCCTGCCTCCCAGGCCCAGCTGCTCCTGCCTGTCTTTCCGAGGTGTGCCCCCACTTCCTCCTCAACCTCATTTCCCACCTGGCACCCCGGCAGGACAGGGCAGCCACTGGGGTTCTGTGTGGCTCGAGAGAAAAACCAGTCTCAGTGAACACTGCTCTCGGCCTGTCCTGAGGTGAGCCCGCATCGCTGGGCAGGCAGGTGAGAGCCTTGCTCAGTGCCAGGCCAGGTCCTCTGGTTCATTCCGTCGTAGGGGTGGGACACAGATGAAGGCAGCTGGGAACAGCCACCATCCCCCTGGGAGGAGGGAGGGGGGCCACAGAAATGGCCAGAGGGTCTCATGGAGCCTGGCTGGGCCCCCACTGCGGGCTGTGGGTCCCGAGGGTCGAGGAGCCCTGGGCCCTGACCTGCTCTCCCTCTTTCTCTCCAGGAGATGTCCCCTGGGACCTGGAGAGCCCACCCATGTGCCTGACTGTGGGGCCAGGGCCCATCCGCACCCTGCTGAGCCTGGAGGACACTGTGTGGGCCAGCTGTGGGCCCCGGGTCACCGTCATGGATGCCACCAGCTTGCAGACTCAGGTACTGGCCTTTCCTGGTGGCTTGTGGGGTCCTCGGCCGGGCACCCCTTGCTGACTCTTCTTACCCTCTACCTGGCACTGCTCTCTGCTCTCATGTGTGTCTCAGGGAGCAGTCAGAGTTTGTCAGGAAGCAGAGGGGACCCACGATCCCCACTGGGCCCAGCCCTCTGCCCCCACCTCTCTGCCCCCACACACATCCCCGGGGCTGCCATGAGGGGAAGGGTCCAGACTGCACCAGGCTGTGAGCCGCACCCTGGCTGTGTCCGTTGCTGCCCGTGGAGGTGGAGCTGGGGTCCATGCCCTCGCACTGGCATCTCGGACACAGCTGTGTCGAGGAGATGGCCAGTGGGGACACAGCGGTCCTGGAGGCTGGGCTCTTTAAACAGCATGGAGGTGGAGGCTGCTGGGTTCTGCCTTGCCCTGTGGCGAGCACTGCCCATGCCTTGGCCCCTAGGACGAGGGCCTGGTCCCAGGGGCTTGTTTCTGGCTCAGCCTGGGTGCACACTGCCACTGGCTGCCAGCATTACCCACCCCGCCTCACTTCATCTGTAAAGTGGGGTGATGATAGCACTGTGTAGAGCTACCTAGAGCAGTGAACGAAAGTGTTTATGCAAAAGGACTGACGTGAAGTAAGTGTTTGGTGCGCGTTAGTTATCATTGTAATTATCTGCCTAACTTAGATCCCGTTGCTGTCTGGATATGCGGTTTATTTGGAAAACCAAGTTGCTTCCTCAGAGTCGGTGTCAGTGGGCGTGGGGCGTGTGTCCACATTGTATTCCTGCCAATAGCCGTCCTAGGCGTGGGAGACACGTGGATGGGGCGGATGGCAGGGGCCTGGCCGGCCCAGCTCTCCTCCGGTTCTGCCCCTCGCCAGCCGCCGTGCAGCCCTGCCTGGGCCCCGCACCTCAGCTCTGGCCTGACCGTGACCGTCCCTGGGGCTGAGTGGCCACCGCGCTCCAGCGAGAGGCCGCGATGATTTAAGATTAGTTCTGGACCAGCTGCTCTTACAAAGAGGATCGATAGGGCCTTTCACCTGCTTTGCACAGCGTGGAGGGTGTCAGGGGAGCTCTGGGAGCGGGGAGGCAGGTGGAGGAAGGGGAGGCCCCACCGCGGGAACGGGGAAGCACGTGCCTGTGCTGCAGCCAGGGAGACTGAAAAGTTTGTGTGGGCAGCTCGCCTTCCGGGCACCCCAGGCGCTGTGACGACGTGATCGCCATGCATACTTAATAAAGCTGCGCTCCGCTGCCGCTTGGCATAGAGAGGAAGCCGCCTGCCCTCGCGCCGGGCTCCAGAAACGGCTGCTGCTGATGACCACCGGCCTGCATGGCCACTCCACGCTTGTCCTGTCCTGGTGCCCTGCATGGCCAGCCAGGCCCGAGGATCAGCCTGGAGACGGGGCTGCTGTCCGGGCCGCGGTGGTCCCTGACCGTGAGCTTAGGACCCAGCACCTGCGGGCAAGGGCCGACATGCCCCCTCGGCAGCAGCATGCGCCGCCTTCTAGCAAGTCCTCCCCCAGGCTCCAGAAAACCCCTCTGCGGATCCGAGATGCTTAGAGCTGCTTAGTGCTCTAAGCCGGGCGGAGGGTGCTGTTGGCCACGGATGTGGCTAGTGTGGCTCTGGCCCAAATGAGAAGATGTGAGGTTAATCTAGAGACTGTGTCAACTCCAGGGAGCCTTCCCTGGTTCCTCCCATCCCCGGGAAGTGATGGTAACCAACATATGTTGGGTACTTAGTGTTGAGCAGGTATGAGTTTCAGTACTTTGCATGGATTAATCCTCCAATCGCCCTGTGAAATGAGTACTATTATCATCCCCACTTTACAGGGGAGGAAACGGAGGCCCAGAGAGGCTAAGTGACTTACCCGAGGTCACACAGCTAGGAGGAGGCCAGGTTGGGATCCGAGCACAGGCATCCAAGAGCTGAGACTGCTCTTAACCTTGATGTCGGCGGCCTGGGTGGGCGGAAGGCTGTCTCCTTTGGGCCGCGTTGTGCCCCGCAGGCTCTGTCCTGTCCCATGTGACTCTTGGGGACTCTTATCTGTTCACATACCTGTGTTTTCCATCAGCGTCGTCTGGGCTTAGCATGGCTCCCTGTTCACGTCGTTTCCCCGGTGTCTGTCTAGCTCACGTAGCTCACATGGCAGGCACACTGAGCGAAGACTTGTATGCGGACACGTGGCATCCGGTGTCCAGGTCCTCGTGTAGGATGCTGGAGGGGTGGACACGAGAAAGACCTGATCTCGGCAGCTCGAGAGCTTAAAGTCCAGTGTGGGAGCAGACCCAGAATGGCCAGCGTCGGCCAGTGTCAGCCACCCCTGGCGGTGGGGGCACGCCCAGGCTCGGTGGGAACTCAGGGAAGGCCAAAGCATGTCAGCTAGCCAGACCCAGCTGGAGGAGGGACAGGGACAGGGGAGGTGCTGGGAGGGCAGCATCCTTGAGTGAGGCTGGGCACTGACGGCCGAGGGAAGAGGGAGTGGGGAAGATGCTTCGGTAGAGAGAGCTCCACAGACAAAGCCCCGGCCAGAGACAGCCTGGGGCGTGGGACGTTGGCTGGGGTGCATAGCTCCCCAGGGAGGGGCCTTCGAGCCAGGCTCACCCTGGGCTGTCTCCATTAGGCCCGCTTGGCCCCTGCCAGCCACCCCTGACCTTGCCGAGCCTGTTCCCCTTAGAGCCAGAGCCTGCAGTCTGTCTCTGGGTTTGACGCTGGCCCACCAACTGCTTGTTCAGCTCCTTGATCCCAGCGGAGGCAGCAGCGAGGCTGTTAAATAATAATGTAGCTCGCCAGGGCCTGTGTCAACACCGCATCCTCCGTGTTCATTATCTAGATCGCCACCTTCAAAGTCTAATCCAGTCTTCTGGAGTTCATTTTAACCGATCGCTGGAGGGGAAAACCAGCTGTGGGATGATTGTTGCATCTTAATTTAAAAAAAAAACATATTGGGGACAGGTCGATGGGAGGCCTGTGGCGTGTGAGGTACGCTCTGCCGAGTGGGGGAGGTCTGCATGCCAGGCAGGTCTGTTCTCTGACATCGCGTGGGCTGGGGTCTCCGTCGCCCCTGCTTGTGGGGGGCAGGCAGTTGTGGAGGCTGGGCTGGGCCGCGAGTGTGCTTCACGTGATTGGAGTCTCACGTTGCTGCAGAGAGATCAGTGGGCCCTTATAGATGGGGAAGTGGACCGGAAGGCAGGCCTTTGACCTGTGGTCTGTGGCCTCCGCTCCCCAGCAACGCTGGCCCCTTCGTTGGTCTCTGAATGTGCCAAGCTCCTCTCCACCAGCAGACTTGTGCCTCTGCTGTTCCCCTGCTTGGAACACCATTCCCACAGCTTCCCGTGGGTAGCTCCTTTCCATCGCTCAGGTCTCAGCTCAGCTGCCCCCTCAGTGGCACCTGCTCTGACAGCTCCATCAGAGTCACCTTTGCTTCCGGTTCTAGTCTTGACACACCCCCTGCCTTTATTGTCATCAGAGCACTGGTCATGTTCAGAAATTACCTCCTGGGCTGTTATCTGTTGGCACCCACTGGGCTGTAAACAGGCGAAAACAGGGCCCGGTCTGTCTTGCTTGCTGGCATGTCCCAGGGCTGAGCCCAGCACTGCCCCTCAGCCAGCGTTGGTGGATGCCCTTCCTCTGTAGGGCAGGCACCCAGGTGGGGCTGGTGGGGTTGTGCCACGAGGTTGTACCTGTTCTCTCTAGGCAGACAGGTGAAAATCTGGGCAGGGCACCTGGGCCAGCTAGGGGTGTCTAGGAGGGACTGCCTTCCAAGAAGCGGGGCAGAGGTCACACCCCCAGATGACGGGAAGGAATTTGGGTAAAGGGCTGGGCTGAGGGTCTTGCAACTGGGATGGCTGGGTCCTGCTCAATGGTGGCAGAGTGATTTGGGCAGGTGGGACATATGTGGGTGTGTCACACAGAGGTCCCACCCTGACCTGCCCCCACTGCAGCCAGCCTTGAGTTGTTTCCATGGCAACCCCTGTTCCCCAGAGCCTCATTGGTACAGCTGCAGAAGCAGGGGGTGAGTCTCGCTGCCCCCCCTGGAAAGTGCCGGAACGCAGGGCAAATCGTGCCCTGTCTGGGCCCCGGGCCTGGCTCCCACCTGTGGGCTAATCGGGGCAACCGTCTTGCATTAGACCCCGGCTGCCCCACCCTCGGAGAAGCCTGTCTGGACTCCCCGCCTCTCCCGACACACACGGCCTGGGTCACAACCCTGGGACCCGCTGCTGCGGCACAGGCCGTTCTCATAGCCCTGGTCGCAGCTGCGTGTTGATGTCTCGGGGACGGTTATCAGATTAACTGTCTGCGGGGCAGGACACGCCTGCTTGGCTCCCACTGTGCCCACTTCCTGCTGGTGCCGAGACCCGGCCGACACGCAGTTGGTGCTCAGGGAAGGGCCCTGAAGGACGGATGGCTTTTCCCTTAGGGAACTGGGCTCCATCTGTGGTGGGCCCACTAACTGTGGAAGGGAGATATGGGTAGGGCGCCCGCAGAACAGCTGACCCAGGCCTTGATTTTGACGGGCTTCCGAGCTCGGCGCCAAGCACGTGAAGAGCTTCCCAAAGCTGGTGATGCCGGCAGCCGCCGCCCCCTGGTCCCGGACGCTGGCCTCCGGGGCCGGCCCTGACGCCGTCCATCACTGAGCGTACCAGATGAGAAACCTCTTGGGTTCTTGGACACCGGTGGCCTTCAGATTTCCCCCTGCCCATCCCCATGCACACCCACCTTCCCCACCCTTAATTTTCACGTTTAGTGCCCAAACTTAGTTTGCATATATTAGCTGTTGTAAATCTATCATAACAGTGTGACGCGGCATGAATAATGCATCACTGGGCTGTATTAGTTTTCTGTCTCCTATCTTATTTATGACACGAAACGGGTGAGAATTTGCAAAAAGCAAAATCCAGGCGCAGGGCTTCTTGGGTAATGGTATGCAAATTGGCGTGAGGGCTGAAACATTCACCAAGTCCTCGGGTTCGGGGAGCCGCGAAGCCGGGGCCCCGTGCTGGGGCCCCC